GAACTATTGAGCTGTTGTGAGGTTACACTGGCAAAGGTAGATTGCAATGCTTATCATATGGAGATGCGCTAAAGGCAAGATTAGCTTTAATCTTATCCTTCTGCAGGATACGGTTCTTCTGAAGCAAGTTTGTGTCATGGCTCATATATACATTTGGTAGCCATGAAAGACTGTTTTTAACCATTTATAGTGAAGCCAAAAAATATGGAGACAAAAGACATGAATGAGAAGTCAACAAGTTAGGATTTGATACCTTGGTGAAACCGCTCAGTCAATTATGCTAATTTAGAACAGGATAGTACTAGCCCAACCTTACTAAATACACTACTATTCTGTGTAGCATTAGGATATTCATGCCATGTTTGCATTGGGCATATATGATTTCTTGTCTGATGTATAGGATAGACCTTTCCTAAGATGATCCAAATGAGGAGTCTGCAGTCTTCGTCAGGACTTGAGTGCTGTGAATCCTACACAATGGCGTTCGCAGCAATTCTGCAATACTCACTAGCATTTCCTGTTTCTCCTATACATGACTGGAATTCAACATGTGCAAATTGATACCGACCACAAATACTCATTGGCATTAACAGCTGCTTTCCTATTGCGTTATTTCTTTCATTCCTCTGTCCAGAGTCATCCCTAGTAAAAAAAAAGTACCAATAGGGACTAGCCCCTCTGGTATTTTGTTAAGAAGAAATGTTGGCACATACCCAGTGGAGCCAAGGCTCAAACGCGGGTGGTGGGCTAGGCTGCGCAGCCGGCTCCACGCCACTAGCCAACTGGTCGACGCCCAGTTCCTATTCCCTAGTCAAACATGATATATTTGTAGCAATGGTGGCCTCTGTTTTCGAGTCGCTCGACTAGTCGACGAGTCGCACTGGCAGGGTCGACTCAGCCTGGCGACTCGACTCATCGCATGAGTCGAGCCACTAGTCACGTTTCCTGGGTCGAACGACTCAATTTTTTTTGGGCCCCACCTGTCATATGCTTTTACTGTATTTGCCTGCCCACCCCCTGTAAACCTAGATCGAAGCAGTTCTCCCCGACCCATCCCTCTCCTTGGCAGCCACCGCTGCCCATGGTTGCTGGCTTGCTGCTCCTCCCCTTCTCCCCTGGTTGCCGCTGCAGATCTGCTACGCCCCTCCTCTCCTGGTTGCTGCTGCTGGTCTGCTCCTCCCCTCCTGCCATGGTTGTTGCTGCTGCTGGTCTGCTCTTCCCCTCCTCCCTTGGTTGTTGCTGCTGCTGGTCTGCTTCTCCCCTAAGCTACCAAGCAGAAGCACTAGAGGCCCAGAGCAGATCGGAGCATAAGGAAAAGAGATTATACAGGATAGTGCTTCTGTATGGTAATTTTATT